GATTGCCAATGAAGGTGGGTTTTATTAGGCGGCGATGCAGGACGACAACCAGTTACCAGGTTCCTCCGCTTATTAATTACGTTACATAATAATTACCAAAGCAAAAACACCGTCGTTCAACGGCAATAATCACGTTTTAATTTCTCCGGTTTCCCACCAGAGCGAAATGCAGACTCGATTCTAGTGGAACAAAAGGCGCCTCGTTCTTTGCCTCATTTCCCTGTTGTTAAAAAACTAAACCTGCATTTCAGCTTCTCTGAATTCCGCGTTATCTATGCTTTGACTCTTATGTTTACTGTAAAAATGTTGCAAGAAACTTGTCCACAGTGTGAAAATAAAGTCGAAATTTAATAAAGGTATCTATTAATTTGGTGATTTGGATTTCTCCTGATTTATTTCTTTTTTTTTTGCTTTAATTTTTTTTATACCATTTATCATTCGGTTTACATGTTATAATTAGTAATTAATTAACACTGATCTTTGACTTTGTTTTTAGGTGAATCATTAAAAAAAAAAACTCGTAGTTATGCGATTATGTGTTAATATCAAAAGATATAGATAGATGATTTCGATTGAAATAAGTCACTTTGTGATCATTTTAATTAAGTACATAAAAATGAGAACACATATGTGACATTTACACAGGAAAATGAAAAAAAAAGTGGAGTTAAAATTAAAAATTAAGAAAACTCATGACTTCTAAAACTACACTGTCCGGTTACTCTATAAGCTAATAACAACAGTACTATATTGTTTGCATTTTTTATGATTTAGAGTTAGCAACCGGGCATACAACGGATTGCCATTGTTACTGCCCTGAAACTTTTTCGTTACTACATATCAAACGTCTTGAATAATGAAAAAACGAAAAAATCGGAAGGAGCAACTGCAAAATTAACAGTCATGAAAAGTGTTACAATCTTAAAAATGGACACGCCTCATCTAATAAATCAATTAGAATTAAATGATCTGTATCGAGATTTAAATTTATCAAGAGCTAAGTAGATATATTAGGATTAAGCTCTTAATGATGGAACTTGCTGCTTTTTAGCATATCGTAACCTCCCATAATTTCTGTATTTCTGTTGTAGAGTTGTACTCGTTATACTGATTACACATTATTTTCAGCAATTCTGCATGTGGCTTTGTGTTTTTTTAGTGTAAAAATGTTATGGCTATTATTACGATAAAACGGACAGGAAATGGCATCTGCCTACACTCTACAATAATTACTCATAAAATCCTTGGCAATTAACTACGTGAAAATTTGATACTTTTCTATCTCACAGTATTTCACAAGTGTGATTTCCATGTGCAATAAAAACAATCATACAAAAACATTCCAAAATAAAATAATTTTATTTTAATTGATATATAGTTAGCCCTGGCCTCTTCTCATTTTTTTAAAGCAAAAATAGCAATTTTGATAAAATAGAGTACAGATTTTGATAAAGTAGATACCTTTTTTTGAAAGGTTTGTCTAGCAATGAAGTATGCCGATATGCTGGATACACTGAAGGATAAGTGTTCTTCATATTCCACCATAAAGAACTGGACTACATAGTCCAAAGGGGTAGTACAGAGGTAAAAGATGAACACCTTGCCGGAAGACCCGTTTATGTGTCTACTCCAGAAAACATCGATGTCGTACATGACCTGACTTTGGAAGATCGTCGAATTGGGCTAAAAGGTATAGCAGAAACATTGAAGACTTTTTGTGAACGTATTTTTCATATTGTGCATCACGAATTAGGCATGAGAAAATTATCTGCAAAGTGGATCTTTAAATGCCTAAATGCGGATCAAAAGCAGCAGAGGTTGACAACCACTAAAATGATTTACAACCATTTTGAAGAGGATTCATCCAACTTTTAGGGTCCAATTATAACAATGGATAAAACATGGATCCATCACTATGATCCAGAGACAAAAGAGACTCAGAAATCTGCAGGAAAGGTGCAGTTTTTGGGACAAGGAGGTATAATTTTAACAGATTACTTAGAAGCTGGAAACACTGACGAGGTCATATTATTCTTCATTACTGACCAAATTGCGAGAACAAATTATCGAAAAACGTAGCGGAAAAATCTCAAAAGGTGTGACCTTTCTGCAAGACAAGTCTCTGAATGCCTTACATAAATTTAATGGACTACACTTTGAATTGGTTGACCTTCCCCATATTTGCCACATTTATACCCAAACTGAAAAAGCACTTGAAAAAAAGAGATACTCGGCAAATGAAGAGGTGATCGACACTGTAGAGCAAAGGTTTGCAGACCAGGATAAAGAATTTTATTTAAGAGGATTGGAATTACTTTATGACCGTTGTATTAAGTGTATAAATTTAAAAGGCGATTACATTGAATAAATAAAATTTAGTTTCATGGTATGGCTTTTTCTTCGATGGTAGGATAAGAATTTATCAACACGTCCTCGAACTTAGTGTTAAATTTTAGATATAATAATAATGATTAAACAAACTGTGGTTGCCGTTTTACCATTTACACGTGGATTGTTTCGAAGACTATTTGTCTAAAAAACATTGCTACAGACGACAGACGGCAAACGGTGGGCAGACAAGACAGGCAAACAAACAGATAAACGAAAACGGGACACCTATGTTTACGTACTCTTGGGGTCATGAAACGTCGAAAAAATTTGAAAGTAGCCAGACGCCCGTTTGACCCTATTACGATAGTTTCTTAGTTTACGCTCGGCAATAAAAAATTCAAGAATTCTGGAATAACATGCCATCAGAATTAAAAAAATAAAATGTTGTGTAGCGTAAGAGGAAACCAATCAGAAAATGTAAAACTATATGGGACGTTCTACACATTTGAAAAAAAAAACTAAGTTGTGTCTAAAAAACAGAACAATATATACTCGTACATAGCTGAAGGTGTTGTTAGTATACTTGGTGAAAGAGCTATAGAACTTTGATCTTGACTTTTTTTGTACCTCTACTAACAATTAATATATCACCTTGTATATTTTGAGATGATAAACGCAAACTAAAATCTGTGTTCTCGTTCTGTCGTCTTAAAATGTTGTTGACTAAATCCTGGTAAGGAGTAATTCCATGGCTCATACCTGCTTGTGTCTTAAAAAGGTGCAGTTACGTAGATAAGGTGTCTCAAAAAATGGATATAATTAGAATATACTTATTTTTTTAATCAAAATGGCGATTTGTATTTTCCTCTAAATTCTAAAATCCAGGAAATGAATACATTTACTCCATTTCTTCAAAAAATTAATACTTTCATGTGTAAAGATTTTTACCCTATTTCTCAAGTACAGCAAGTATCGGTGTTGTTATTACTCAACTTAAATGGGATAGTGTCTCTAGTTTTGTAATTGCATAGAAATCTTGACTGTTTTCAGAATTACAAAATGAATTTTAAAAAAGTTTATCTATATGTATATGTTGAACAAGTTACATACTAAAATAACTTATCGTTTGATATGAAATCACTGTAAGTAAATATAATAATAATAATAATATATAATAACTGTAAATACGAAAAATCAACACATCTAATAAATCTTACAGAACAGTTTTCGGGTGTTATTAGGACGAGCTTCGGTGTTGAGAAATGTAAGACGCAAGTAATCAGAACAGGCGTTCAACAACATATACTATACTTATACATATAAACCAGAATGACGAAATAATCGAAGCCCAAGAACGAAACGAAATAAACAAATATCTGGGCTTTCATCAGTCTTCCCATAAACGAAAACAAAATTCATAGAACAATATCTGGCAGGATTAAAATTAGTTTTGAAGAGACAGTTAAACGGGAAAAATTTAACGATGACAGTAGAGATGGATCATTTTAAGTTCAACATGGTGAGTTATCAGAATCTGACAACGGACCATCAGTCAGTAGCGTAACATACACACTTCAGAAGGGAGTGGTTTTTAAAATTTGGACGGTCAACACGACAGTAGTACGAATGCGAATGAATCTATTAGGCACTAAACTAAACAGGTACCCTTACGCTAGAAAAGTTCACTACGACTGAGAAACGATGACGGAAGCCTCTAAAGATACGCTCACCCTTTAAATTTGAAAATGGACTTTGCCCGACCGATTTTGTGCTTCTACGCAGTTTTACAGTTGTGACGACCTTAGAGTGCACGATGTCTAAATACAGTCTGTGTTCCACTGCTAACATATTCTTTTGAAATAATTAAATCGTCATAAACTAATTTCGAAAATTTAAACATCTTAACAAGAAAATCAGTCACACAATATAGAAGACATCATCCGAAGTCATCTATTGAGAGATTTTATTACCAAGGCAGAACGGGGAAAGGGGATTCCAGAACTTATAAAAATTATACAAGAGTCAAGTTTCGGAATTTAATAGATATTTACGATATGTGTATCGTAATGTGGAATTTTACGATACGCGATGGAAAAATTGTCCAACGAGCCGAAGGCGAGTTGGATAATCCATCAAGGATCGTAAAGAAACATTACGATACAAATATTGTACCACGTTTTATCTACTTTCAATAATTTTCATAAAAATTAACACAGATATTTTTGTAATTTTTTAAATTGTGTTTATGGAGAAAAAATAAGGCGGCTAAATTAGTAACCGTAGTTACTGATTTGTTTACGTTTTTCACAAGCGTTCAGTGAAAGCAATTTATGTGCAAAAATTAGTGATTCAGAGGATAATTTGCCTTCCGATATTGAAGTGGCTACTCAATCTGTCATCGATACGTTAGTTCCTGGTAAATCTAAAGAACGTTACGAGATAGCGTACAAATATTTTGATGAATGAATGGAAGTTAAGAAAATTGGTGACGTTTCTGAACAAGGTGATGCATTCCTATTTTGCTGAACAAGCAGAGAAGTTAAAACCATCCTGCTTATGGTGCCGATATTCCATGTTGCGAACCTTGGTGTTGATTACGAAGAATGTTGATATTTCTGAATATCATCAGGTTGTGGCTTTCTTCTCGGAAATCAGAAGGTTCCCAACCCAGAAAATCGTTTATTTGTTCCAAAGAAGAGATAAATCAATTTCTTAAGAAAATGAATGATAAGGATTTCTTATTTTTGAAGGTAAATTGCAACTCATATTGATAAAAAACAATCTCAAATTTATATAGTTTCAGGTTGTTTTGATAGTCGGAGTGTTTGGTGCTTGTCGACACGAGGAGATCACAAATTTTACGACACGAGACGTTAGAGCCGAAAAAGAATTTATCAAGATCACCTTACTGAATTCAAAAACTAAAATTATGTAGAATTTGCTATACCGAGAGGAAATTTTCAGGGAATAATTAACATGTTGCTTGGTCATAGAGGCTGGAAGTCGGATAGCATGGCAGAAGGATATGTTGAAACATCTGTCGAAAATAAGAAAATAATTGCTACGAAAATAACGGGTTCTTCAGTTACTGTGGGTTCAACAAATTAGGTCACGGTGGAGAAGCCCAGCTTCAACATGGGAACAGCGTCTGGTGTTAACTTTATAAATGCTTCAAACTGTGTAATTTATGTTAATAAATGGTTTTGAAACTTTTTTTTCTAAAAGTCACTCTTTACCGCACTAGTGCGGTAATTGTTCCTTTACCGCACTTAGTGCGGTAAAAACTACCATTACAATATCAAAGACAAACCTGTAATCTGGCACATTACATAATGAAAGTAGATAAATATCTATTATCTACTTTCATTATTATAGATAAATATCTATTATCTACTTTCATTATGTAATGTGCCAGATTACAGGTTTGTCTTTGATATTGTAATGGTAGTTTTTACCGCACTAAGTGCGGTAAAGGAACAATTACCGCACTAGTGCGGTAAAGAGTGACTTTTAGAAAAGAAAGTTTCAAAACCATTTATTAACATAAATTACACAGTTTGAAGCATTTATAAAGTTAACACCAGACGCTGTTCCCATGTTGAAGCTGGGCTTCTCCACCGTGACCTAATTTGTTGAACCCACAGTAACTGAAGAACCCGTTATTTTCGTAGCAATTATTTTCTTATTTTCGACAGATGTTTCAACATATCCTTCTGCCATGCTATCCGACTTCCAGCCTCTATGACCAAGCAACATGTTAATTATTCCCTGAAAATTTCCTCTCGGTATAGCAAATTCTACATAATTTTAGTTTTTGAATTCAGTAAGGTGATCTTGATAAATTCTTTTTCGGCTCTAACGTCTCGTGTCGTAAAATTTGTGATCTCCTCGTGTCGACAAGCACCAAACACTCCGACTATCAAAACAACCTGAAACTATATAAATTTGAGATTGTTTTTTATCAATATGAGTTGCAATTTACCTTCAAAAATAAGAAATCCTTATCATTCATTTTCTTAAGAAATTGATTTATCTCTTCTTTGGAACAAATAAACGATTTTCTGGGTTGGGAACCTTCTGATTTCCGAGAAGAAAGCCACAACCTGATAATATTCAGAAATATCAACATTCTTCGTAATCAACACCAAGGTTCGCAACATGGAATATCGGCACCATAAGGAGGATGGTTTTAACTTCTCTGCTTGTTCAGTAAAATAGGAATGCATCACCTTGTTCAGAAACGTCACCAATTTTCTTAACTTCCATTCATTCATCAAAATATTTGTACGCTATCTCGTAACGTTCTTTAGATTTACCAGGAACTAACGTATCGATGACAGATTGAGTAGCCACTTCAATATCGGAAGGCAAATTGTCCTCTGAATCACTAATTTTTGCACATAAATTGCTTTCACTGAACGCTTGTGAAAAACGTAAACAAATCAGTAACTACGGTTACTAATTTAGCCGCCTTATTTTTTCTCCATAAACACAATTTAAAAAATTACAAAAATATCTGTGTTAATTTTTATGAAAATTATTGAAAGTAGATAAAACGTGGTACAATATTTGTATCGTAATGTTTCTTTACGATCCTTGATGGATTATCCAACTCGCCTTCGGCTCGTTGGACAATTTTTCCATCGCGTATCGTAAAATTCCACATTACGATACACATATCGTAAAAAATATTTCCTGAGACGCTCAGGAAGAAACGAACTACATATTTCGCACCATAGAGAAGAATTACAGAAAATATATTGTTACGAAATAAATCCATCTGTCCCGGTACGACCCTATGGGTTTTCTAGTATGTGCGGCGATGATGGGTGACTCATCGTCAGTGACGGCAGCCGGACAGCGTCGGCTAAAAAGAAAAAGGCTAGAAGCGGATGTTGTGATGGATGTTCCAGGACAAGCCTAGAAGCGGTGACGGAGACCTTCGAGAAGGACCGCGCGGCTGTTTAAATGGGAACCATCGTTGGGAGCAGGGAGTGATGTCCAGACAATGGGAGGAGTAGAGTCTAGTCAAATCCATTCCAGTCGGAATTATTGCATACATAATCCCTGTGTGATTAGTCGTCTAAATTTGACTTATTAAGAAATAAATTGTTGTGTTTAACCCACGCCGATTCCGTCGTAATAATGTAATCAAAGATTCAAATATAAGAAGCGATTATTGTCGACTTTGTAAAGACAAATTCGAAACGATTCAATACATAACTTCATCCTGTAATATCCTGGCACAAACTGACTACAAAGTTAGACACGACAACGCACCCAAAATCATTCACAAAGACTTAGGGGGTTGCGACGAAATTCCGGATGGGCGGGACGGACGGTCCGGTGACGGTCCGGAATCTCGCCGATAACGTATGGGGTGGCGGCGTACCTGAGTGCCAAGCTTTGGGTCGACTAGTATCGCTGATGTCAGTAACACGTCTGGTCGACCAAGCTTATGCGGCTACCTTCACGCCGCCGGGGGTGGCGCCTTCGGTCAGGAGCGACGGTCGCTCGGGCGCCAGCTCCCTCTCCGGGGGAGGGAGCGCCGGGGTGCTCTAAAGCCGGAGACACGGAATTCAGGTGATGAGCCGCCGCGAAAACCCGAGAATAAATAAAATAAAACGGCAAGAGATATTTTACAATAAAATGGGGTTTATTCCCTGCCACCAGCTACACGGTCTAAGATAATAAATCTTACGGCTAAACAACTTAAATAACTAACAAACGGTTTTACTATAAAAAAAAAGAATTAAAGTCCGGCACGGTCGTTCCTCCTGGGCGGCGACTTCCTTCAGGCCGGGCTCCTCTTGGCTCTGGGGGCGGCGACCTTGAAACTGGAAATCGCGCGAAGACGGTACGGCGACCCGGGAGGGAAGCGCGGTGACGGTAACGACGCGTGCACGACGGTGTCGACTTTCGACGGTGACAAAAAAACGTGGTGACGGTGACACGGTTTTTCGCTCGGGGCGGCGATTCCAAAACCGGTAAAAAACAGGCAGGCGACCCAAAAAGTACTTACGGTGGGTCGGAGGGTCGAACTGCTCACTTTGTCACACTTCTCAAAAACTTCACCAGGACAGCCACAGCACCTCCTGCACTCTTTGGAGTTGCAGGCAAGAATCCTCCTCTTCCGCCGCGGCGGCGCGGCGATCGCCAATTTACCCCCGGCTCTCGCGGTACCCGGCACGGTTTCCGGCCCGCGAAAATTCGCTTCGTTACAGGGTAATTTCAAGTTGGATTTGCGAAATCGCAAGTGACGTTTATATGGTAGTTTCGATGAGAGTTGTTGCGATTCGCGATTTGATTTGTCCTCGCGACTGCTGTCATCGCATCGTCTATGGCAACGGGGATTTGCGAAATTGTAAATCCGACTTGAAATTGGCCCGTTAGGAACAAATTTAAACTTAATCCAAGATACGACACCTTATTGTACACTTACATCCCATCTCCATTCCTTGAAAACACCGAATATAAGCTATAATCCCAATATATGGACAATACTTACAGCCAGAAACATTACCGTCAACAACTAGATACATTATATCATACTTATAAAGAAACACACCAATGAAGCCATTCTCATTGGCACTGCTGTTCCTAACACACACAAGATAATACAAACATACCACACCAAAATATCGATAGAAATAAAGGCAATCTTAAATCTTGAGAAAATTTTGGTTCTACCTTTAGTTACGTCCAATGTAGGTGTAGTACCAAATAGTTTAGTTGAGAATTTGAAATAGTTACGCTTAAATGATTCTTATAATTGTCAAAATTCGAAAAGCTGTTTTATTAGGAACACGTCATATTGTTCGTTAAGTTTCTCAAACAGTTTTATCATGTCAGTCAAAATAGGTTAGCATCAGTAGGTCAGACTGGGGTAGGTCACTTTTCAAGTGATGCCCGGATAAATTAACGGTGGAGATGAGGTGAAATTAGAGAATAACAGCAGACGAATTTGTACGCTGTAATTCTAGGACCTCAAAAATTTTTATTAATCTAATCTAATCAAAGCATATCATTACTTGGTCTTAGTACCCATAATGATAGAAGTCTTGCCTAAATGCCGATCATTACTGAATTAGTGGTGTGTCCTAATAAACGTACAAGTAAAAATTAATAGAAAAGAATAATATGTATTTAGTGCAGGATAGTGTTTTATATGGAACAAAAGTGTAATTAGTGACGATAACATAATGAGAAAAAATATAAACAGTAGAATTAGACTATGTACAACAATCAGTTACAAAAATTTCAGAAAATTAACACTTCAGTAGTATGGACATAGAAACAAACCAGTGGCGACCAGTGGGAAAAAGAATGATAGGGACGTCAGTATTAATATAAAAACTGTATCACAAAGAAATTTAACAGAGGAGACTTAAACAACGGGAAATTCTGAAGAGAAAAATGCCTAATTCAAAATAGGGACAAAACGGAAAAAGAAGATGAAGTTTTACAACATCTCCAAAGGGTTGATCTGCGCCTAAACATTGAATATGTCTGTTTCCGAGGTCACCACTGACAGAATGGTATCTTCCAAAATCCGTTTTAGCGATACACACTCAACCTTCTTTTCCTTTCCCCATGTTTTGTAGCCTATGCTTTAGGGTTCCCGTATAGGGAAAAAACGAGATTACAATCAACATTTAAGTAAATAAATCATTAGAAACTCATTCAGCCTACTAGTAGCGAAAAAAAAATTACGATGGAGTTCGTAATACTACTTGCGCTAAACGATATTGCAGTGCCATTAAAATTGGAAATATTTATTTGGAAAAATAATTCCCTATGATATAGAAAGCGATAGTTTAGTACTGTCAAATTAAGTGTAAAGTAGTCCACTTAGTTTTGGAATGCAAAAAGTCATTTTGCGACTACTGCTGGTGTTTTTTGCCAAAAAAATTACATATTCAGAGCTAACTTTTTAAACTAGACATGCAAAAAAATATTATAACACAGAATCTCCTCTCTAATCGTCTTCGATACTGTTAAAAATAAAAAACAACTTACAATAAATGTAACTGTATACTATGCCTACATCGCGCATTTATATGATCTTCCGAAAGTCTCATGCCCATCACGGGACTGCCTCGGGGCTCAAAGCCGAGACTCCCCGGGGGCGTTTGTTCGTAGAGCCCCATAAACAATGATCTCGCTCTTCGCAGCGTGAAAGTGGCACATCTTTAATGGAGCCACTAAATCAC